ACCTTGATTATTTGAATTAGCCGTGACAATGCTGGCAAAAAATCGATTTTTCGCACCTCTGACTGCTCTTTGGTACTGAGACCAAGCTTCTCTCATGGCCTCAAAGGATACAGTAAGCCTGTCTTTAATCCATTTACGTTCCAGTCTCCTGCAATTTTGTCTCATGGAACGAGTTTGTTCGTCTTAAAGGCATACACACTGTATCTATTCACATGACATCTCCCCTCCTTTGAGTCGGAGACAGTGTAAACAGAGTATGTGAAAGAACAAAGTGTGTCTTTTCCTCAAAGCATTGGAACCCTCTCCAACAGCAACTGACAGTAGAAACATAACATAGATGCTTTTAACCAAAGAGTCAATCACATTAATTGCAAACAATCACCAACATTTTTTTTTTCTTCAAAGGATGGAGGCAACAGGACACAACCCAACCATGCACGTGTCGTTGGGGTGATGGGGTGGACTACACAAACACCCTTATAGCGGCCGGAGGTTATTCTGCTCATTTAGGCCAGCTATACAGTTCAATAACAAACGAAGTTCTTGAGCCTCCTGGGGGGCCAGATGACTCTGCCTGTAGAAGGCATCCGAGCTGATCCCGGGAGGACGATCAGAAAGGTCTGCTGGGACGGTCCCTTGGGCAGGAGAAACAGACTCTTCAGTAGGTGAAGCAGCCCCTCTGACAGGGGAGCCTAAAGGTGTAGGTTGGGGTGTTGACGACAATGGTGGTGGTGGCTGATCTGCCACACCAGGAAGGAATATTAGTCGTAGGCGGTGCCTGTTCCTCCGCAGTGTCCCGTGTTCTGTATGGATCAGGTAGGACCTCGGAGCTGGATGTGGTTGTTGGACCGTTGCCGCAGATGTCCAGCCAGAATCACCATCATTTCACCGCCACATCCTGCCCGGGTGTAAGGGGTGGGAGTGCTCTGGCACCATGGCGTCGGTTGTAGGCACGTTCGTAGCTCCTTTTCGCCTTGGCATTGGCTGCACACACCTTTGCGAAGTTGGGCCACTTGGGCAGCAGAACCATACCGATTGTAGGTACAGTCATCTTGATCTGACGACCCATCATCAGCTGGGCAGGACTGGCCCCTGTGGTTTGTACTGGCGTGGCTCTGTAGGCCATGAGAGCCAAAAATGGGTCGCCCTGCCAGAGAATCCTCTTTGCTATCTGAAAACCTTTCTCAGCCCCACCATTGGCCTGAGGATAGTGGCGGCTGGAGGTGATGTGCCTGAAATTATAGGCTACAGAAAAACTGTCAAACTCTTTGCTCGTAAACTGTGTAGCATTGTCAGTGGTGAGTTCATCTGGACAACCCCACCTAGCAAACATGTTTTTCAGGCGGGAACATATGGTCTCACTCTTCATGTCCGGTAGGTGAGCCAACTCTAAATAACGAGAATAAAAGTCCACAACTACCAAGTAATGTTCTTTTTCATACTCACAGATGTCCGCACCTATCGATTGTCAGGGCCTCTGTGGTAGTGGTGTTGTAATCAGAGGCTCCTTCCGTTGTGTAGGTCTGACTCTCATGCACTCCAGACATTTTGTCACTAGTTCCTGGATGTCTTTTTCTAGTCCGGGCCACCACAAACTCAGGCGTGCTCATTCCTTGCACTTGGTGATGCCTTGGTGCCCATCACGTAACCGGTGAAGGATCTCTTTTCTCATACATTAGTTGGTTTGGTTACATCATAGAATGCAAGTGAAGGTGCGGTGGAAGTGAGTTGTTTTACCTTGTTCAATGGGTTATCTTGTGCTGTGTCCCAGGTCCACACTGCTTCACTCCTCAGCAGGTCATTGAGTGGCTTTATCACTTCAGATAAGTTGGGCAGGAAGCGTCCTAGGTAATGGACCATGCCCAGGAACCTCCTCAAGCCAGGCATCAGTTGGGGGTGTAGCTCTGTGATGGCGGCTACTTTAGAGGAATCAGGCTGAATGCCGTCACCGCCAATTCGATGTCCCAAATAGCTCAGCTGTCTTTGTCTCAGGAAACATTTCTCATTGTTCAGTTTTAGGCCTGCACTTTTCAGGATGTGCAGAGCATTTTGGAGTCTATCTTTGTGTTCTTTATCGTCTCTGCCATGGACGAGGATATCGTCTATGTACACTTCCACTCCACTTGAACCAACCAGAGGATGAGGGTCGGCCACCTAAGCCTCAATAAGCTGTTCTGTCATGCTGACAGAACTGCTCCGAATCAATGCAACTGTAACCAGCTGACGCAACACTCTGTCAGAGTTATTGATTTTGAGACGCAAATTGTTTCATCAGTCATTGTGACCCGGAGACAACTCAGGACCGATTTGAGTCGCACCGAAGTCCCTCTACCAACCTCTTGCCTGGAGGAAACCATCTCCACCTGACATCTCGGATCCACAGAGGGTCTCCTGAACTGGGGTGAGGTAGACACTTTGCGACAGATGGCGTCTGCATGCTGTTCTCTCTAAGAACCATAAGTTAGCTGCAAAACAATATTTTTCACCCAGAATGTGTCTCTCTCTCTGAAAGAAATCTTCTGAGATATCATCCACGCATCCAAACCTCGCATTTCATTTTAGCTTTTCATTCAGACACAGGTAAAGCTTTTAATACCAAGTTTAACATCAAAGCTGTTACAAATTGCCATTTTCAAATTGTCATCTTTAAAATTGTTAGTAATAAATTCTTAACGTTTTAAATCTGACTCTTCTTTGAAATGAAACACAGAAAAGTGTATATTTGGTTATTGAATAAGCAAAGAATCCATTAAAGCCTTCTGTTTAATAATAAACTTTTGCTATTAAATTTAATTATCTTAAATTAAAAATTTATCTTTGGATTAAAATATAGACCGAGACAGTTGGTGTATGAACTTCTATCGATTGAATTAATATCCTAGATATTTATGCATAATATAAGTTCATATGCTAATGCGTCCAATCTCTTCTCAGGATCTAACCAAACTGATAGCAAACAGTGTTAAATCCTAGTGTGTAGACTGTCAACGCTAGACTACCTACTGGGGTAATGAACGTGGTAAGTTTAGCTGCCCCTCTCTCAAGTGGGATTTGCCAGAAGCCGCTTGCTGCATCCAGTAGAGAGAATATTCGAGACTCCGCTATCCTCGGCAATATATCATTCATGGTGGGTAGGACAAATCGTTCCCTCTTCACCGCCATGTTCAGTCTCTTCAGATCAACACAAATCCTTTCCTCACCATTTTTCTTAGGGACTGGAACTATGGGAGCACACGACTCTGTTGACTGTTATTTCTTCTATGACATTGCATTTCAGCATTCTGTCGAGCTCGATCTTGACTTTGGAGAGAAGGGGGGCAGACACTCTCCTTGCTGTGCTGACGCTGTATGGGACAGCGTTGTCCCGCAGATGTATTTTCACAGGTTTTATTTTTAGGAGGCCTAGATCCGTCCCGAACGTGCTTCTCACCTCTTCCATTTTCCTCACCAGTCCCATCGCCACAGCAACATCACGGCCTAATAAGTTGCTACCATTAGTTGCTTCCATAACGTGGATGTTGAACCTGTAACTTTGCCCTTTATATTTTGTAGTGGCAGTGAACAGTCCTAGACAGTTGAGCCTTCCACCAGGGCTGTCGAAAACTGTGTGGGCGCTTGATAGTTGGGGCGAGCTTTTGAGGCGATGAGAGGTGTTGCCTGAAATTACACTGGCATCTGCACCAGTATCAATTTTGAAGCTGACAGAGGTACCGCAGATGTTTAGTTGGACAGTCCATGGCTTATTAGAATCAGTTACATAAAGATGTGTTGTTTTTATCTCACCCAGGAAGTGCCCCTCGTTGTAATTTTCATCCGGCCTTTCTCTTGTTATTTCGTTTACTCTTGCAGAGCGGCACACGGCTGCGAAGTGTCCAATTTTATGGCAGT